ACTTCACTTCAGTTATTTTCGTTACATAAAGCAGGGCTTGTTGAAATCGGGAAATCCGATAGGCACCTGTCATTTACATCCGATGGTTAGTAGGTTGTCTCGATGCGCTGTCACAGCTTGACAACTTCGCAAGAGTCGTGAAAGGGAACCCCATTGAATTGCTGGATTGAATTTCGGGCGTTACATTGTTAAGTACATAAAATACACCTAGAGTTATTTCGAAATACCAGAAAACACTATTTCTAGTTAGGTTTCCCTTAAGTTGCGTTCGAAATTTGCGCGCTTTTGTCTGAAGGATTAAAAGGCACTTTAACTATTTTGGTGAGTTTTTACAGAGACCAATATTTATCAGAATGGTAAGTGCTGAAAACGAAATAATACCCAGTGATTTCATTGGCTGCTTCCAATTAATCTAAGCTGTAACTTTTTCTTAAACATTTCCTAATTTATGGTCAAAATGTGAGCACCGGTTTCGTTGGTTATCTACTTCACAGCATAACCTAACCACCGCTGCATTCCTTACATCACTATTTCACCTTTCTCTTGGATATAGACTAAGAGAACTTCATGGATGTCCACCTCTACACTTGAGTGAAACTCTAGCAAAAGCGGCTCAAAAATATGCCGAAGTAATGGCAAAGAAGGGGTTCCCTGAGCACAGCGAATGCACCGACTATGGAGAAAACCTAATCACTCGATGGCATTCTGGAGGAGCTGTCTTAACTGGTATATCTTTTCGCTTAAAATAAGGTGTAGAATTTGCTGACACGTTTGCTACTTGCGCCATGTATGTGTGACACCGCGACTTGTAACTATCTGAGCCCGCAATTCACACACAGATATGATAAGTGTCATAGGTCAGTTTATGATCCTTTGAAGCGCCCATTTTAGCCAAAAAAAAAACTGATTCGTTGGTGTTAGTAAAGCTTTCGATTGCTGGATGGAAGTCTAAGCAATCAAACGTCTATGTGACAAGTGGTAGCTGTGGCGGTTGTCAGTCTACTTAGGTCCCGTTAGCGAATGTGCACTGCATCGGTTGACGAATGCCCCTCCAAATTTTAATGCTGCTGCCTTCTCTGTAAGAAATCTGTCTGGTAATTCAGCTGTCCACAGAATACTAATACACACACACACGCACACATTTTCCGCCTCTTGGTAACAAAA